CCATTCACACAGGTGCCCCGCTTAGCCATGGCCGATTTTGGTCTCGGACCGTCGATTGATCACGAAGACAGCCGAAGGTCGAAGGTCGGCCGAACCGTCACTGACGGTGACCCTGGGGGATAAATGGGATTGGGATGGGTAAAAAGATGGACGTCCATCAGTAAGGGGGGAATGGGGGGTAAAGTGACGGGGTAAATTGGGTGGGTAAATGAGCCTTCTGCCGGGGCCTGAGGGTGAAGGAGGGGGGAAAGGGGTATTAGCGGTCAGAGATTCAGTGGCCGTGTGCGACGGCCGAAACTCCAATCTCCGCCGCTGGGCGACCGTGAGCGACGGCCGAAACTCCAAACTCCGCCGCTGGTCGACCAGTACATCAAGGTCATACATACATTACATTACGTTGCCCACTCATGTCATACATTAAATACCGATGGCCACTGTGTCCATCATGTCGATCAGATGCCCGGGGCCATGTCCATTACGTCACGCGCCGTGGGGTAACTTGCGGGTGACACGTGTCGTGTCGCGAGCACGTCCACGTGGCGCCTGATTTTCGGTGGTTGCGTTCCGACTCTGCAATCGGAACACGTGGGCAGATCCATACTGATTGCATCGCATAGCAGCTGATATTGTAATGTCACCTGCGGCGGCAGGTGCCCCTTTTTTGGAGGACAGTATTTGTTGTAGTGATATTACTGATATACGTATATCTTATATATAGTTCTACATCGATTGGACATAATAGACGTATATATCCACTTCTGCATCTACATATTAGTCGATCTATGTCATGACAGCACTCTTTCTTTCTTTTTATAATAATAATTTTTCTTATCTAGTGACCTCTCCACTTGCACGTGCATTTCTCTTCTCCCTGTTCTTCTCTCTCTCTCTCTCTCTCTCTCTCTCTCTCTCTCTCTCTCTCTCTCTCTCTTTGTTTTTACTCTTGTGTCTTCACGTAAACGGGCACCAAGAAACTGCTACAGCTTCTTCTGTATTGTGTACACGCCTTCAACCAGCACACACACACAAACACACACACACACACACACACACACAGAGACAGACAGACAGACACAGAGAGAGAGAGAGAGAGAGAGAGAGAGAGAGAGAGAGAGAGAGAGAGAGAGAGAGAGAGAGAGAGAGCCCATGTCTTTCAGGCAATGATATCCCATGTCTTGGTAGTCTGATCGACGAAAGGGGAAGCAGTGATGGAGGGGATGTGGACGATCGGAGTTGTGCCACGTCGATGGATCTGTAATCCTTCTCATGATTGATCGCAGATCGGAAGGCTGACTTCAAGTAAAGGCATGATTAACTCGTTAATTAACGCATTAACTAAGCAAGAACATTAATTAACTCATTCACTAAGCAAGAACATTAATTAACTCATTCACTAAGCGAGAACATCAACTTGATAATTGATCTTTATGAGCGAAAAAGAAATCGTTGATCTCGGCGAGATCGATGGTTCATACTGTACTCGATCGAACCTGCGACCTGCTGTCAGGCACAGATTTGTCGGATTGACCAATCAAGGAAGTAACCAATCAAGGAAGTAACCAATCAGGAGCAAGGAAAGATTCGATAAAGATCGACCGATCAACGGCGAAGTATCGACTGATCACTGCGATTGCGGCTTGCTTTCTTCCCTTCCTCACGCCCTCTCCTTCCTCCTCTCCTTCCTCCTGTCTCCTTCCTCCTCTGCTTTTTTTTTGCTTCTCCGTCTTTCTCTCCTTCTTTCCTTCCCGCCTTCCCTCCCTGCTTGGTCTGATTCATTCATTCATCAATGATTTAACCTCTTTTGTTAGCCGGCCGGAGGGGTGGCGGTGACTGGCTGTCGGGACCGTCTGATCGGGATACGCAATCAAGATCGATATCCCGATCGCGATGGTGTTCGGATCCTTGGACGTGATTGATGTGTGCATGCGGACTTGTGCTTTGCGCCTGGATATGGCGGACTCAAGATGACAAGTGGATATGGTGACACGTGGCGTACGGAGGGGATCAGGTGACACGTGGCGTACGGAGGGCTTTTTGACTGGAAGACAATTGACGATAAGTCGGAGGAGGGAAAGGAGGATTGCTCCTAATTAGCGAATCGTCAATACTTTTAAACGTCACAGGGGAACATTATCTTATCGAAAAGAGAGAGAGAGAGAGAGAGAGAGAGAGAGAACACAGCAGCCTATCCAATCCGGTCGATCTACGTACGAAGCTGGACATCTGAAATGGGAGCCTGAGAGCGAGAGAGAGAGAGAGAGAGAGAGAGAGAGAGAGAGAGAGAGAGAGAGAGAGAGGGAGAGGGAGGGAGGGAGGGAGAGAGAGGGAGGGAGTAAAAAGGGTGAAGAAATGGGGGGTCGTGGGGCTCGGAGTTCTATGCTTAGGCATTTAGGGCGGCGCTTTATGATTGCCGGGAAATCTGCTGCGTGGAGAAGGGGGGGAGCGGGGAGGTGGTGCTTTCAAGCCTGCCTTTTGGTCGGGATCTTGCTCATTGCGACTCTTGTATTCGTCGGAAATTTGGGCAGTTATCCGCCAAGGCTGTCGGACGAAACAGGTAATGAATAATCAATAAATAAATGTTAATTAATAAATGGATAGCAAAAAAAAAAAAAAAGAGAAAATCGATAATAGCTGTACGAAGGTACTTGAAATGAGA